CGCCGCGCGTCCCGCGCGACGTTCCTACCCTATTCCACCGCCTTCATTTGGGTAAACCGGCGCTCTTTCCTAGTCGCCTGGCCATCGTTGCGGGGTCATCTTTTCTACGCCTTGTCGGCCGTTCGTCGGACAGTCGTCCTAACTGCGTCTCCGGGACAGATCACGCTAACGAGCGTCCTGCACTCGGTTCGCTTTATCGATTAATAGATGCGACAATAGTTGAATTTTAATGGATTCTCCGATGGTACATTACGATGCTCACGTTTCATATATATCGTTTCATTTCGCCGGTTGAAAAATTTCTTTTATAAAGATAATAAAATGCAAATAATAAAATAAAGCTTAAAGTGGAGCGGAATATTTGCATAATATATCGATATCCTCTATTCTTTATTTTAGATAACATTATAGTTATAAATATAAATATAAAACCCAATTTTTTATACAATTTTTTACGTCTTTGTATCATTTTCTTATATTTATATATAAACCCTATATTTAAATTTAATAGACATTTGAAATGTATGATTTCAAAACTTGAGATGATATTTATCTCCATATTGATATAATTTATCTTTATATTTTTATCGTCTATAATGATTAGTGTAGATTACGGTTCATTAAACTTTACCAAATGATGTCAATACACAATTGTACTTCCGTTAAGTGCTCGTCTTATTGATTATGAGCTAAAAAGGGACTGTAATCTAAGCGAGAAAGATGTTTCAGTCTGCCGACTTCCTACACCTTCGGATGTACCTACCTCTATCTACTCGCAGGGCAAAAGACGCACAAGCTCCGTGGAAGCTCGACGGGAATGGCAAAGATGTTGGCGACGCGACGGGCGCGGGCGGGGGGAACGACGGAAAATCCAAATTGCCGCACAAAGCTCTCGCGCAATCAGGTTCCCGGTAATCCTCGCGCCTTCAAGTACTTCGGCACGATCGCGAAAGCCAATTATGTGGCTGACGTACGTACAGGTGCGGCTTTAAAGCGGCTAGACAACGGGGCTGGATACGAGGGTACACATATAGGCACGGAAAGTGCATTCCGGCGGAGCGCGGAATTACTCGATTAGAGCTAATTCGAATTATGCTACAGCTCGTTATCAAAATCGCTAATTGTTAATTGGCATACGCGCCGGCCTCGCATGCGGGGGATACACCGTCGGTGCGTCGCGAAACAAGACCCATTTGCGTCACCGCAATATACACGTATATACCGCTTGGCGATAAAAATTGCAGCAATATCGAGCGTAAGTCGAAGACGCAAGATCGTCCAGGAGTTCACGTCGCGAACCGTCGAAGACTCGTTTCTGAAGCGTTTATCTCATTTCGCCGATCATACCTTCTTCAGATATCTCGCAATATTTTCTCCATCGGGTGGCCGATCGGGTTGCGATCACCGTCGAAACGCGACGACTACATCTCACGGGAAAGTATCCTCAGCCAATTCTCATCCCTCTCTCTTTCTCTTTCTCTCTCTCTCTCCTTTTTACTCCGCTATTTCGGCGTGAAGAAACAACCAAGACGCATGTCCTCAGCGGGATACATTCTCGTTTCTCGATCTTCCGCCTCCTAGCGCGTTTTCGCGGTCGACTCTCGCCGCTGATAAATTGCGAGCGGCGAGAGTGTGGAAATTGCATACGTCGTTGCAACGCACGTCCCCGGTGTGCAGTAATCGTCTCGGACGTGTGCACGACCCTCGGTATACGCGAAAGGAAAAGAGAGAAAGCAGAAAGAACGGGAGGGTAGGCAAAGGAGAAAGTACCCCGCTACGGTACGGATGTCCAGACCTGGGAATCCTCTCAGGATGGGTCTCGTTAGTCCTGCGTGGCAGACTTACGGCACCCAGGACTCGTCCCGCCTCGGCTACTCATCATGGCTTCGGAACGAGATGTACTTCGGAGAGACGAGGATGTTAGTTTCCTTCCTCTCAAATTACGCCCATAGACTTCTTGCCAAGTGAAACCGATCCTCTGAAACACCCGTCCGGCTGTGTGCATGTGTACATGTATACAAATATACAGGAAAACACGAAATCATCAAATTATGATGATCAATCTAAAGCACTGTGCACAAATTGCATAAAAATCTCATATCTCGTATTAGCATGACTTTACTTAAGTTTAATTGCATATATTGGCCAAAGTATTTCTCTGCAAATATTGAACGCGCAAATCTGTAATTTGAAACTACTGATAACTCCGCGCTATTTACATGCGAAAGTTTCTTTTCTTATTTACGTGCGAAAATACTGAAAATTCAGTATTTTCCGAGTTCACGAAAATGATCGATCGTTTTGAAAGCATGACCTAAGAAAGCCGATACTGAATATCACGCTATCGTCATGATCGTGCATTCCGTCGAGCCACTCATGTTCGTTGCTGGTTGTTGTTCGGCTGAGCGGAAAATACATCTTCGATGATTCTCAACTTCTCAACATCCGCACATCTCTTCAGTGCGTCTTCGCATTGAAAGGAAAGTGAGGAAGAGAGAACAGAGTAACGCAAGATGGCTGGCGGCGCACACGCATCCGGCGTGGGTAACAGGGGATTCCGGGAGCGAATTCGAGCGCGAGAAGGTGGAGCTGGCCTGCCGTCGGAGGTTTGATTTATATGTTAATCGCCAGACAGCAGTCGCTGCCGATGTCGGCAAGCGCGGCTTGCTGCACCACTCTTTTACCCCTCGTAACAATTCTCGAAATATCACGTATAAGTAGACACTGGTTATATTCAGAAAGTAATATTGATAGATTGGACAGGAAATTCGAGTTTTAATCACCAGTCAGTTGCCAAACAGATTGTCGAGAGGATTGACACTCAAAGCTAACATATCACATAAATCATCATAATAATTTATTTAAAAAAGAGGAAATATAATTACACAAGAGAAAGAAAAAGAGAGAGAGAGAGAGAGAGAGAAAGAGAATATAATGAAACATATGTGTGTTATAGAAATACAGATTTATTTTTATTCTGCAGAATATGCAATTTTGAAAAAGATTAATTCTCATATCTTTCGGATAAAATTTAATCTCTGAAATTCCTCGACAATTGGAAGTATAAAGTTTAAATTTCATTAGTTTTTGTACATATTTGCTTCTAGAGACAAAACCGATGCCGATATTTATATCGCACTCGAATATTAAAGTTCGTTTCGTTAGAAGTGATGTGTATAAATAGAGGATTAATTAACAGAGGATAGATCAAAATTCTCTGCCGAACCAACGACAGATGGATATGAAAATGATACATTTCTGGCTCAATGAACCTATGGAATTATTAGAATTTCATAACCGATATATATCGAAAACCGCGCCACTGTTCCATATTCGAATTCCGAATGCCTAATTGAAATAGATATGGAAGATACATATAGAAGGGTGAGCTTTAATTGAAATCACAAATTTCCAATTAATTAGTCGTCAATCAATAATGTGCAAAATTTCAATAACGGGAATTATCGAACTAAACCAATCTTTTCGAATGGAATTTTCTTATATAATTTTCAATCGGAGCAATATTCGTAATAAACGATAAAATTTGACATAAAAGATATGTACATAAATGTATATTTATGAAATTTATGTTTATAATTATTAAATATTAAATTTAATAATTATTCAAAAGTTAAAACTATACCAAGTGTGTACATAACATAATAATGTGCATTATTTTAAAAAAATATATAGATTGATATACGTTGAAATATTTTAACAAAAAGCGACGGACAAAGCAAATGTGTTACAAAGATACAGTCATTTTTATCTACTGCCTTTATGGTCTACACTTCGCTTTATAACAAGAAGTATAAAAGTTATAAAACCTTACTCATGTACTGCACAATTTTTTTAAGATATAAATTTATCTTTATCAACTTGATCAAGCACTTGCGCAAACATTTCTATAACCTACTCACATATTTTAATATTATCCGCGTCATATCACTCGGATTTCTAAAATTATGTGTTATGAAATAATTAATCACACACACACAGAGAAAAAGATCATAAAGTGAATAAAATCATATTCTGCTTTTTAACTATGATCCTGGACTATAAGTTATTGTATAAATGTAGAAAAGATACTATATAAAATTAAATGTATTTGCTTGTACAAAACAAAACAGTATAAGAAAGGAAATAAAAATAAAAGCTGCAAGGTATACATTATCTGTATAGAGAGTGTCGAGTAATAACTTTTCGTGCACTGGTAGAGCAGGTTAAATTGAATAGAAAAGTTCTCTATCGTTTTCCAATTTTCTCAATGATTAATGAGAAATTAATTAATAGAGACCTACGAATCTGCGCGATTCAGCAACGAGTATAAACGCGCGGTGAAGCATTGGGAAAGGTTGGTGCGCTTTTAAGAACTGCAAATGATGCGTAACGCTGTCTTTTATCACTGAATGTGAATTGCACGAATTCACGTTTAAATACATATACATATATTTTTAGAGAGAGAGAGAGAGAGAGAGAGAGAGAGAGAAAACCTGGTATTACCGTATCTTATGAACAGATAGAACTGATCCAATTGAATGAAAAGTGCTGTAGTGCGTTTTCCTCAATAATTAATGAGAAATTAATTAACAAGGATATTCGCGTAAAGCCGAGAACTTTTCTGTTCCGTTTAAACCGTTCTACCTATTCACATGAAATGATACAGTCATTATTGAACACTCTGTGTATACGTATATATATATATACCTATATATTATATATATATATATATATATTTTTTTTTTTTTAAGAGACATCTTATCGCTTGAATTTTATCTATAGTCGCTAATACAGGTTTTCCTTATGTTATAATAATATTTACGATTTTTATGAAGAATTTTGTTATCTTTGTTCCTATATGACGTTCTTTTTACAATTATGTTGTTCCGTGCGCGGCGCTTGAATAAAATGTTTTGCGTCGACGTGAGATAAGAGGTTTCGCCAGATGTGAGAAATATGACTGCAATATAAAAGCCAATGAGTGTACATGACTTACTAGTATATGTGTTCGTATGCTAGTAAGATGTCACGCTTCATTTTCTACTTCCTACTTGTCGGAGGGATCGGTAAGCGAAAAAGACATATAATTCTCTAATACTATTTTTACAATATTTTGAAATAATTGCAAAATTTTCCAAATCGGACCTACACTATACTATATTATGCTATAACTTGCAAACTTATATATTAAATTTTATGTTTATATTAAAAAGAATCGAGTTTTATGTACGGCGTAAACAACACAATACCTGACATTTAGAACTCCGCGATGAATAATAGAGTATGATAAAGTCAAATCAGTACAAGTTATAGCGGAACTTCCTTAGCCGTATTTTTTATTATCCAACGCGTTCCGGAGAGTAAAGTTTAAGAGGCTATACAGTCGCGCGTAATAAAGTCGACCGAATCTTCGCGTGATTTACGTATTCGCCGCATTCTAGGGGCCAACTTTTTTGCTGAAGCGCGACCCAAGACAAATTCTACCATCACAGATTTAATATTACAGCATCTTTCCTAGCGCGACCGGCTGTCCCTCTTGACCCTCGGATCGCGAGAGGTACAGTAACTGACATAAAGCAGCATCCTTATCAATTGAGCCTCCAGCGAGGTTCACGGCACGCTTGCGGGGCCGTCATTGTCAGCAATAAATGGGTTGTCACGGCGGCTCACTGCGTCAGGTATACATTTCTTTCCCTCTTGAATACGTATCGCATTATCTCACTACGAGGCAAAACCTAAATCTTCATAAGACGCTAATTATCCTTATCCTTATCTTTGTAACGTCTTCCAGCTAATTTAAACTGTTTATCAAGTCTTTATCAAGTGCCAAATGTAATCGCGCAGCGTCATTTAGCAGAGCTGTATTTATTTTCTTCATATTTCAACAATATAATAGGTACAGATTTGGATAGAAAACGATAGAATTTGGATAAAATTGTAAAGTTTTTTAATATATAAAATATTATTTATCATAAATTTCTACATTAATAATAATAATAATAATAATAAGATTTTTGTCAAGCGCCTATTCATTTTTTTTTTATCAAGCGAGTACCCAATTGGGATGCCTAATCGATTATTTAAAACTTAGGAGAAATTTTTTCTTGGAACATTCTGCATTTTATTTTGTTGCTTTTCATTCTAAACTGAAATATAACTCCTGACTATTTATAGCAGAATAATAATTATTTCAAATAAAAGTTTTACCGCTTTATATTCACTTGTCCCGAATCGTCGCGTTGCAATGATACAAAAGTTAAAAAATTGTAGGCACGTTTGCGCGATCATTTATCTCGTTATTGCAAATGTGGCAGAGCTTCTTCTCATAAACGATCTGTATTGATATTATTGTAGCTTACATGCGCTTATCGCCACGATATTTTCATACTAGCGCATACATTCCGTATTGCAGTTCGCCGGCAAGCGAAGTTTATAGACTCCACGCAGGAAGTAACGACAAATACGGGGGCGTCTTTTATCCAGTTAAAAGGATCGTCCAACACCCCGCCTACAATTTCCTGACGATCGATTACGATATCGCCCTTCTCGAGGTATAGCATCGAACCTGCTCTCTATCTCTTTCTTCTTCTCTCTTTCTCCCTCGGCCCTCAGTGGCCTTTTCCCTGTTTTTGCTCGTTAACGACTCTGCGCCAGCTGACAATAACAACATCGGTAGTTCTCGCACGGTCTGGAAATTTCATTTCAGATCGATGGCGAAATCACATTTAACGATAGGGTGCAGCCAGTGAAGCTTCCGGAAAAGGAACTCGCAAGTGGCACTATGGTGAACGTTACCGGATGGGGCGCGGCGAAGGTGAGTGTGCGCGGGGAATAGACTCATTATCTGAACGTTGCGGAAAACAAATGGGGCTAAATAATAGCGAATTTCCCTTCCCCCCCCCTCCGATCTCCCCGGAGCACGCCTCGAAGATTTCGTGGGAGCGTTATTCCGCATATCGGAAATCGAACCGCATTATACCTATAGTATTCGGCATACGACCAAAAAAAGAAATCGATATCCCCCTCGCGTCCCATTTGCAATGATACTAAATTACGTTACGGCTGTATCAGAGGTATTATATTACGGCGCCATTGTTAAATTACTTTATCCGCGGACTTCCCCTCTCCCCGATCTGACCGCTTAGCAAAATCGCAACTTTCGTAGCGTATCCTCCGCTAATTCCGCTGATATCTGATAACCAATATCGACTCCATTCTGTAGTCGGTATTTGTACTTTATAGCGAGGATTGGAGTGGGTAATGTATTATGTACCTACCGCATTGCGTGTATTATGTGCCACAATAATACAACCATGTTGATAATTCTAACATGCCCTATTAGGGCACGTTAGAGTAATCAGGATGGTATTTCAATCAGTTCAAGTTACCGAATTATAATGGTGCAACGGAATTTGCACCGCAAAGCGAATTTTCCATTTTAGGCAGGTGGAGAACCGTCACCGGTGCTAATGAAAGTGTCGCTTCCAATCGTGAGCAGAAAGACGTGTCAAAATGTATACAGATACATACGCAGCATCACCGATCGTATGATCTGCGCGGGTTACATGCAGGGCGGTCAGGATGCGTGTGAAGGCGATTCGGGCGGACCTCTTACGGTGAATGGCATCCTCTACGGAATTGTATCCTGGGGATACAGATGCGCTCAGCCACTCTATCCCGGTGTTTACACCAATGTTGCGGATCTTCTGTGGTGGATAAAGTGGATCAGTGGCATTTAACCTCTTTGACAATTACACGCCTTTTGTTACGCATCTCAATTTACGGGCGATGGAACATCTAGGATCTCAATACAAGATCTGGATGACATTTACGCGAGACACAAGATCTTAAGAGGCCGGAATTTTTATAACGGTGCAAGATTTTATTGAACGTAATATTGTTCACAAAAATTAATGCAAACGAGAGATCGTGAGTTTTCATGCATTATTGCATTAGAGGTAGCTTTAGGAAATAAACGATATAAAACCGTTGTAATTGTGCTCATTAATATTAAAAAGTAGATAAATTAAAAGAAATGAGGAAAATAAATTAACGATATAAGTCAACAAACATTTTAGTTAAATAATGTAAATATATTTTTACTAAAAAATATATTTTATGTCTCTCTCTCTCTCTCTCTCTTTCTCTTTCTCTTTTTCTACCTTACCCTCGCTCTCCCACTTTCTCTTTACGCACTAGAAGTTTGATTAGCTATCACAATCTAACACGGTTGTACCATTATTGATCGATCGATAGGATATCACTTATATATTACGTAACTGTGTACCAATTAGCTTGACACGCAAACATTATTCCGGAATTGAATTACGCCTCTAATGTAACAATTCCAAATTAATCGCGCGGCATTCTTTTATATTTCCTGATAACGCTTTGTTGTAATTTCGAACACAGACAGTGCGATTAGACTAAAGATAGCTTTGACAAGAAATAAGTTTCCATTTGCGAATCATTTATAACGCAGTGGTCTCAAGAGTCATCACTTTCGATCGATCAGCGGGCAAAAATGTTTAAAAAATTCACCGTATTATTCTGCGTACTTCTAGTATACAGTGAGTCAATCATTTTTATATACATATCCGCTCTCTCCACACTGAATTGTTTTACATAAATTGTGATTACAGCTGTTAATACCGAAAAGCATGAATATGTGGTTATTGAAGATTATCCGTACCATGTGAGAGAAACTTCATTTCCTTTTTTTTCTTTCATACACGATAGCTTGCAGTACCTACTGTGCGCGTTCCGCCGGCAAATAAAACTATATGCCATTCACATGTGGCTTTAATCGGTAGTCAGTACAGCACGGTGACTGTAAGCCGCTATTATTTTCGAATAAATCGGATTTCAGATAGAATTCGTTATCCCAATACAGGTATCGATCCAGATAGCCGGACGACACATTTGCAGTGGCGCCTTTATACACGAATCATGGATTATGACCGCGGCATCCTGTGTTTTCAGGTACGCGTGCTACTACAAAAATAATAACATACAGGACGTTTTCCTTGGAAACTACGATTTCGATTTCGTTGAAAGATTTCTTCATGAATTTGAAGCTGACTTTATTTTATAGGAATAATAATCCTTTTCGATTTGATATATGAAAACTGAAAATATGTTTTATATTTAACTATCAGATAATTTTAGAAATTTTATAATAAAGTAACGTTTTATGTATTGATATACAATTTATTGATATGTCGTATCTGACAGGACAAAGTCGTCGGCGGTATTCGTACAAGTCCGTTCCTCTTATCTTTCCATGGATGGCGATGTATTAGAAATAGACAATATTGTGGTGCATGAAAATTTCAATAAGTATGTGTACTTCAACGATATAGCATTGATAAAGGTAACGTATCTTCGTTCCCGCTGAACAAACATCCCGCGCGCTTGCGTCTCATTGGTTTTATCGCGTGCGCGCGTATGCAAAGTTGTCACATTTATCAAACTTTGTAGCTAAAGAGTCCTGCGGAGTTTGGAGAAAAGTTGCTTCCTATCGGACTGCCGGAGAAGGAAAATGAACAACTCCGGGACGGGACCCATTGTGTCGTGACTGGCTGGAAACGAACTCGGGTAAATATGTATATACTCGTGTGACAGCTTCAGTCTATTTTTGAATTTTCACAACCGCCGTTTGCTCTGAGAAAACCGGGATTTCTTATACGGTTTCTCCGTTTGACGGAGTGTCCAGGTGCCACGGCACTTGGGGAACGCGCGTAACTCCCATCGGTCGTTCCTTCCGCCGTGAAACGCTTCTCTCCCGGAGTTAGCAACTCCCCCGGAACGAGATTTTTACAACGAGCGTAGGCATTTTTACAGGAACTCGGATATGCAAACTTTTCGCAACTTCCCTTCCCCAACCGGTTGGCAACCCGCGCGCGACGTTATTCAAAGTCACGTCGGCACCAAAAAGTAAATCGTTACGAAACACTGTCGCAAAACGTTCGCGCGCGTTCGTAACCCTCCTTCCCCCCCCCTACCCTATCCCCCTCGGTTCGCTGCCGAGAGAACCGACGGGTCACAATAACGAGAAACGTGTCGTAAAAACGTGCGAGTCGTGCCAAATTTCCAGGGGACCAGCCCGAGCGGAACTCAGCTCGCGGCGGCCGCTGTGGCGATCGTAAATCAACGTACGTGCAGGGCGAGGATGCCGAGCTACAAGCCGCTGTCTAAGGATATGCTGTGCGCCGCTAACGCTACCCGCCCGTCGGAAGCGTGCCAGGTAAGATCAGCATATAAGACGAAAGCGACGCGACGCGCAACGGGGGCGCGAGAGAACGGGGGCGCGGTGATCCGTGAAGAGCTCGCGCGTATATACGCGGGGAAAACCCGCGACAAACTGTGGACGACACTCGAGAGGGGAACGTCGACGACACCGAGAAGAGGCGCCTCGACCTCGTCGTTGACGCACGTCACGACACTTGGCACGCGTGCACGGTGTGTATATGCATCATCTACGGTGCTATCGAGCCGGGTGCGCGCTCTCGAGTGTCAAGCGCAGTGGCTCTGATAAAGTACTGCGCGCCGAGTGCTAGAATTACGAGAAAATGTTCTTTCAATCGGGAATACATGGAGAGGATAAATAACGATTTACGATTTACGCACATAGATAGCGGATCGTCTACGATTACGAGTGCTGTCGGCTCATAATTGAGATTGTCGAGATTTTTTTTTTCATGTAACCTCAAGCACCGAATCCAAGCGGCGAGCCTCTCGCGTAATGATCTCGCGAGGAGAGTAACGAAATGTGGAAAATGCGAGACGTGTAAATTAAGAGCAGCCGACGATAGTCGAATTCCAATTGTGCCACGGCCACGAGTGTACAATTACATCAATGGAGTCAATAGTCTTTCCGCAAGTACACGCGCGGCTGGTTCAGGTGTCGGATGCACCAGATCGGTGAACAATGCGGCACTTGACTCGAGAACGCAATTTCCACGCGACGCCGAAGCACCGCAAGCGAAATGCGAAGAGACCCCGCGCGCGCGCACTAGAAAAATTCCCGTTATTTCGCGACGTGACTATACCCGGGACCGTGTTCGAAGACCCGCGGTGCAAGAGAACACCTCGTACATGGATACAATGTTTTCGTAAGATACGCCATACATTATATTTAAAATAAATTTACGCGGCCACTGGCTCAGATTTGGCAGGAAAGATTTTGTAAAGATTTGTAGGTAATTCCCGAGGCTTTTCCGTTTCAGCTGTTAAAAATAAATTAAAAGACGAAAAGCTCTTGAAAAGTGTGTCAAGTGTTACTTTTAAGCAAAAATGGAACTTTGAAAAAGACGTATCGCGAGATATCGTATGCCGTGCTATAATCCACCATCGAGCGCTTCGGTTTCTATAGCAATTAGCGCGGGTAAAGCTTCTAGCGATTACAACCATCGCGATATTGTCTACAGGGTGATCTAGGCGCGCCTCTAGTGTCGGCGCAGATGCTGATTGGCATTCTATCCTACGGATTAGGTTGCGAAACCAGGATACATCCGGGTGTCTATACTCGTGTCAGCAGCTACTTGCCGTGGATCTTTATGAACACTGGTATCTCCTACAAATGAAGCAGTGCACATGCACGACCGTCGTACTCAATTTCAATTAATTATACGCAAATTATAACATATCGTAATTTTCTTATTAATAAAATTCTGCAAGTTATCATAAATACATATACTGATTTTAAAACCTGCGTGAGCTGGACAACGCTCAATCTCTGTTAAATGAATATCCCCGACCAGATTTTCCATCCTGTATCACAGCAGTTAACGAATTAAACTAAAACACGACTTTCGGGTTTACACATTCGTGATATTGCAAGTCGCACGATATGCATGCATCTCTCCCCTGAGGACGAGAAAGTAACCGTTCGAGTGCAAATAGACGACTGCAGCTGAAACTCAAACATTACGTGGTTTCGTCAATACTTGATGCATATTCATAAAGGTTTAATATAGCAACGGGGGGGAGGGGGGGCTAGCAATCAATTATTTCGACCTGCCGCGTGCGTACTCGCTCGTTGATAAAGTCCATGAATACAGAGTATCTCGAGCATGCCATTTAATTTAAGCGCTAGTGGCGAAACGTCCCGCACTTCCGATTTCAAGTGCCACGTTTAAGCTTAATTATCATGTTTCGAAACCGAAACTTCCGACGTACGATACGCCGCGCCGCCGCCGCCCCGCCGCCCGCCCGCCCGCGCTTGCCGCAGCTAGCCGTTAATTTACCATCGATATTTTATCGAGTGCCAATTAATGGAAGGGATTAAAAGTTTATACAAATTCATGCCGGCAGTTCATTTCCGTCCCGCTGAGAGCTCGATTGTGTGGAATTAAGCAGCGACCGTTCAAAACCCTTTTAACGACCATTAAAGAATTAACGACACATATTTTTAATCTACCTCTGCGGGATATTTATTGAGATTAAAAAAAATCGATATGGAATTTATTACCCGATAATAATTATATTGCCAAAATAAAGAAAATACGTTATTGCGTCGCTTCTTTATTAAATACAGTTAAAAAATAATTTATGATAATTCGTATAAAAATGATAAGTTATACTGAACAGTAAATACTCATTTCATCTTTGCCTATTAAAGTATTCCTAATTTTAATTTACGTAGATCTTTGTTTTTTCGTAACTGAGTTAAATTCGCTTACACTTCGGTTTTCTTATACATTCCAGTAATTAGTACACTGACAAACATACATAATGTGATTAGAAAGAATTTTTTTACAGTTATTCCTATTTTTCTCAATTATCCTTACTGGACGTTATCCCTATTATAGATGACTATTCTGTACTATGATGAATTGCCAGATTTATTCTAAAAAATAAATGCAAATTTATTTTATTAATACAAAACTTTACATATATTACACATATGTAACATGTACATATATGTATATTATTAGTATAATTAAATAATATATGCAATTTACATTATTTGATAATTCTAATCAATTCTTTATCGATTCTTTATTGTCAAGAAATTTTTCTCTGGGAATATAATTGCAGTATAGAATCCTTTATAATATTCGCTATATGCAAGCGTAAAAATCGGTAGGAGTTGTCACGATATATTACTGCTTCTTCCGTTAACCCGCGCAGAGAAAAATATCGCTGTCGGAAAGCTCGCCAATTTTCGATCGCGACTGTTCGATATTTAAAACTGTCTGCGTAACGGCATAAGAATAAAAGTACTACGACGAGCGGTACTTTTCATCTGTGTACAAAGATTAATATTTTTTCATGAACGGATTCCTGTGCAACATTCTCTCTCTCTCTCTCTCTCTCTCTCTCTCTCTCTCTCTTTTTTCTTCCATCATCCGCTCCATCGTCTCGAAGCCAGCTTGCTAACAAAAAACTACACAACGAGGAGAAAAAACGAAAGCTTCCTTCCTTTCACGCTTCATACGCTTGTTTGTCCTTTATCCCAGCCCACTATTTATTTTTATCTCGATGAACGAAACATTATTTTACAAAGTTGTCTTATAATTTCTGAATGAGATATTTTACAGCTTTCATACCGCATGAATCACGTGCTCGAATCTATTCGATAATCATCACTATGAGGCTATAACTATCAATTGCATTGATTATATTTGCGAACAGAAAATGAGCGACTTCTCTAACTATGATAATTATCAAATTATCAAAGTATGCGCGCAGCTGACGCAATGAGGTGGAACAAGAAGCGAGTGTAACGAGAGTTTCTTCGTAAAAAGAAATGACGCACATATAAATTTGAACGATTGTTTGAACGTTTTAGAAATTTGTCTCTGATTTGGCCACTGACAATTTTAATTATTTAAAAAATTATTAAAAATGTCTTGTATTAATTATTTACTTTTAAATCTAGCTGAAAACAAAATAATATAACTAACTTATATACATATATCGTTTTGAAAAGTTTAATAACTACTAAAACTTGTATGATTCCGAGTGTTATATCTAAAAACATTTGCGCAAAAATTCAACGAATGGATTATTGAAACGCAAACGGGATTTTGATTTTCGAGATCGTTGAGTATTCATAAATATTGTCATGAGACGGAAACGCGAGTGTAACGCTAACAAAATTGTTGCTTCAATTTGACAAGAATTCGTCATGCGATACAATCACATTACCCAAATTATTTCAATGTTGCAAATACTGATTTTAATAACATTCTTTATCATGGCCAAATTTACCTATAATTACCCAATTTTGCATTCAATTTTTTGTATCCAATTATTCATTTAATTTTCAAATTTGTATTTACTCACTTGCTGGTTGTAATTACTAGTCAACGACACAAATGTTTATACATCTCTTAATCATTCCACGTCGTTACAAAAATTTTTTTAACTTATAACATATAAGAGTCACTCTCTGTATTAAGTTTTCGTAACAGCATATTTATATATCGGAGCACTAGAGAGACACTGTGCAAATCGCAGTCCAGTCCGCGACAGTTATGCTATTCTAACTGAATCTCTCTATACTGCCATTGTCATGATTTCCATTGTGACATGGTCTAGAAATCCCTTTGTTCGGATTCGGATTCATCAACTGTTACCCATTCGATATACTTACATGATACAGATGCTGGACAATGCTTTTCACCTCCTCCACCAGCAACGCGGATCTTTGATTGATCGGTCTCTAGCGGGCCAATATTCGAATTAATGTTTCAACGTGATTGTATCATAAACTACTAACTACGGTCGCGAATTTGGCTTTGACACAAAAGAGAATCAGATCTGAGATCTTATACGCCTGAAAGGATCGTCAGAACGTTCTGCATGGATATTCATAAATGAAAGTATGCTTTATTATTATGCTTTGTTGTTCTTTTAAAAGTTATATTATTACACAAAGCCGTATTACTATATCATTATTATACCGCAAGTGTGAATGCAAAATAATTAGTACTATATAATAATATTGGAAAAATGGGGCAATATAATAATTTACTGTTTCAGAAAATTAATAATTGTTTCACGTTATAGTACAATGAAAATATTTATCTAATCAGGGCACTAATAATAAAATAAAATGTTTCGTTCAACTACTTATTTATTTCATATTCACGTCCTTGGATGTTTATTTCTTTAAAAATTTTTAATCATTTTATCGAAAAACACACATTATACACGGAGAGAATTTTATTTCAAATTTACCCTGCAAATCATGTTAATTATGGGACAATATAATATTTAGGCAAATTTTACTGTGCACTACAATAAGATTTCGCAGTAAAATTTATTGTAGTGCACAGTAAAATTTACCTAAATACTATATTGTCTCACAATTAACATGATTGTCAGGGTAAATTTTAAAAGAAAATTCTCTCCGTGTAATGTTACATTTAATCTTAGTTAATCTTGTCTAGTTATCTGAAGCGACAGCATTCATTTTCTGACACATGAATTTTTTTATATTTTTTTCTGTTTATTACATTTCAGAATTTAAGTATTCACGAATTATTACGTGCTTCTGCAATAGATATGATCCGACAGATCGTTCTGAACGAACGAAAATAAAAGCGTGTGCCGCACTATAGCATCGTGGAAATTTCCGTCGAAATGAACTTTTTACCGGATATGCGTTTCTTTATTCTAACATCCGGATTAATTGATGCCACTGTCAATTTTTCCAAGCGCTAGAGAGAAATTTCCGATCATCCAGCTTCCGAGAATTTGACCTAGATTCCGGCTTGTTTGTCGTCGCAATCGCCCGTTGGGAGCAATCGTTCCAGAACAAAATATCGAAGACGAACGTTGAAACTGGAGCTTACCGGGCTTTATTGTACGCCCATGAGATGATCCGGAACGAGCCGGTTGGAAAATAATTAAATGGCTTCACGAGGCAAGTAATTAAACGTAATCATTACAAGGAACGTTCGGAGGTAAGTGCGCGGTATTCTTTTCGGAAAGCCAGCTCTTTTCGAGCGTGGTAATCGCGGGAAGCAAGATAAACGCACGACTTCGCAACGAGGAAGAAACTGTCGTAATGCGCGCGCGCGCGAGTTTATTCAACCGGTAAACTTTGCGGATTCGGATGCGGCGCTCCAGGGTTAGCAGCGTTACGCGGCACGTATAATAATTCATCGTTATCAGAAATTCCGGATGTATTCGCGCGCGCGCTCGAAACAACACAGGTCCGAAACGGAACGCGTACCGCCGCGTACAGCGAGACAACGCGGTCCGATATCCGCGGGAATATCGATCGCTCATACCGGTTATAATACCGCGTCGCATTAGTATGCCACGTCTGCTCCGATTCTTAACAGTTCGGAACCGGATCGCGCGAACGCGCTCCACCTCGACACGATTTCGGCGTTGACGCTCTTTACGGGGTAAGCGACGATCATCCGACGTCACGTACAACAGCAATGCTCTTTACGGTGCGACACCCGGTACGTGGGTAGGTAGAACGGACGCGGGCGCATCGACTGTTTGTGCTGCCCTTTACGAGTCGGCCACCTGTGCTGGGGCTGCAAAACCGTTTATTCAATGCCACCGCGGCGCACGGCGGTGGCGGCGGCGGCGAAACCCGGGAGCACCGTTCCGAGTCGACGCTGAAATTAATAATCCCGCGTGACGAACGATTACGTCGGGGCGAGTGTAAAGGGCAGCAAGATAATATTTATTGCATTGCGCAAAATTACACGTCGCCACCTTAGAACTGATTACGCTTGCTCTCGCGGAGACGGTGCAATCCTTGAAAATATCCGGCGATTAAACCCACGCGATTATAAACAGTATACATCAAGTAAAGCTCGATTAAGATCGTAAATTGTTGATGATCGGGATCGATACTGCTTTTCAATGGAACCTTAAACAGGCGAAACTCGGGCAAAGTCGATGCGTTTGTATAATATTTCGTGTTTATTTGTTTTCCTGAAATCCGTGGTCCGTTGAGATATCTTAAGTTCAATATCCGTTATCGATACACGTAACAAAAAGGAATTGGCTGCTGCAGCCATAGCTATTGCATATTTAAATCATGAAAGCAATCAAACTTTGCTGCAATAATCAATTATTTAATGTTAATTACAGCAAAACTTGGTTTAGTTGAATAATCTTGCTGGGTAAATTTACTTTTGTAGAAATGCAAATTTGTTACTAAGGCAAATTTATTTGTTGTTAATGCGAAATAAAGTTTTCAACAAGTACGTTACATAATAAATTGCAGCAAAGCAACTTGCTATTGTAGCAAAATCAGATTCAGTAACATTTTTAATAAAGAGATATTTAATAATTAATATTTTCTTAATAAACTATTTTTGACAACTAATAGCGATTCGCTGCAGCATAAAATATATGCTAACAATCTTTTTTTCTATGTATGCTTCGACAATAAAGCAAAGTACATTAATAAAAAAAAATTGAAACTATCGTGAGTCTTAAAAAAAAAGTATTCATAGAACATAAACTCGTTCGTAACAAACTATCCGAAAATATGCTAATTGAGGCTAGGGATTGAGAGCGGTATGCTTACACAAGTTTAAATTTCGATGCGAGTAAACGCACGCAACGAAATAATATCTACATTCATTTCGTGGAGAGGGAAACGTAGAACAATTAAGAATTTATTGACATTCCAGTTTCAATTTTCGTTTCAGAATTACGTTATTATTATTGCAAAAATCCGCCTTCCGCACTTAAGCGGTCTGCCTTCATTGTACAATTAGTAAACAATACGTTTTTCCGTAATGCCGTCTAAATATGATGCGGTTAAACAGAAGCAAATATTTTTTCAACGGTATACGCCGCCTCTCTCTCCCCTATCTCGGGAAACGTTCAGACGAGAGGAGAAAAATTAATTCTGCTACACGTTCGTCTGCTCGGTTATCCACCGCCGTATGGCGGATACTCGCGTATACACTCCTGGAAATCCAACACTCTCACACTGAGCGCCCCAGGACACGATCCCAATTTGGGCACCGTTGAACACGAGCGCACCGCCGGAATCTCCCTGCGTCATGAACAAATAAACCTTTTTTTCACTTTCGCACGACAGAAATCAATTTTCAAAAAAATCGAACGTGGATCAAAAAATAGAACGAAATCATTTTCGTGCGATCAATGTTCCGAAGATGTCGTTCGTGTCTTTTCCGAAACATTAAATTCTAGTGTTGTTATAAAAGATAAAAGATAGATAAAAGATTTATACACAGAATTATGAATAGAAATTATGACGTATATTTTTGTAATACAAATTAAATAATAAAATATGTTGTTTATGATATGTAGAGCAATCTTGCTTGCGAGAGATCTTTCGCGGGAACGGCGCGAAAAGAGTTTAATATATTCTCTTTTACATCAACGAGACACGCAATAAAAAATGCGAAAAGACTGCCTAATCAAAGGATTACGAATACCCATCATGGAATTACCGACGAACAGAGAAACGTTGATCGGGCATTGGAAACATACCTGACAGGTGTCTTTGTTATTGGTGGTATCACCGGCGCAGAGCATGTTGGGGGTCACTATCCGATAAAATTGGTAGATATTTCGACATTTCTGTTGGTCCATGATCGGTAGTACGACACGTCGTAGTTGTTTCGAAGTCGGGCCGTTTTCCTGAAATTTGCATCACGCCTGTATAATATCGGGCCAGCCGAGCGTTTACGAACGGTCCGTCCGTCCGTCCACCCCGAAATCCCGTCAACATTTGTCGCGACGATCAACCGGAAACTACGTCAAGCGCTCGGCAAACGAATCTTAACGTTTACATGCAGCTAAACAACCTCGTTTAAACATCACCGTCGACTAAGCGTCTTAGCGGTGGTAAATCTTGACGCTAATACGAGCGCGTGTGGACACCAGAATCGAGACGGCTTATGGATGACCAGAAAAGGACTTACCGACATCTTTCCCCATCCTGCAACGGTTGCTTTTGAATCAACTTTAGCATCCGCATTTTCAAGAATGATAATTCTTACATTTGGACCCGTCGTTAAAGGTCTAAGCAACTAAAAGAAATTCTTCTTTTTTAAGTATCTATAGCAAAGAAAATATAATAATACGAAAATAAGTCATAATTGGCGTACTTTAATTAAAGCCACGTCGTAATCAAAAGTGTCGAACCGATACTGCTTATGAAGAATAATCGCGGAAATATCTGCGATTAGAGTGCCTCCTTGATGGTAATAAGTGCTTCCAACGCGCACTCTGAAGAGCTTCGGTGATCCGCTAAAATAACAAGTAATACATTTTATTCGATCTAACGACTTCTGCGGGAATTACGCTGGACTATCTAATCTTATTATAGCTAGGAGAGCTCAAGGACAGATCAATCAAAGATGATAAATTCATGTACCCGTAGACGCAATGTGCCGCCGTCAAAATCCATTGTTTGTTGATTATGGAGCCTCCACATACGTATTCACCATCATAATGAAGAGAGACCTATTAGAAAAAACATTTTTTTAAAGAAAAATGTAAAACAATCTCCATAGGATACTCGCATTATTATAATAATTTCACGCAACTACTCGAATGTTCAATCAATCGCGAAGAGATTTTCAGCCGTGTACCGACCTGATACGGATGCTCATCGATGGTTGTCGGTGTGCCACCGATTATTCTAGGGTCTAAGCACGAGGCGGAAACTATCAACGCCAGACAGAGTATAATCAGCATGGCTGCAGTCGTAGGCAACTTACTGGTTACTGACTTGATTTATTCGCGAGAATAGGCTCGCGAATTAAACGGTGAATCTCGATAAGACACCTGACGTCGAGATATGATATAATACTGATATTCTTAGAAATAATTCATAACGTGCATCTTCGCGATTAGCTTTTAATTACGATACTGTCTTGTAAAATGGAAACAGATAAATCATTTTTAGATATAAAACCGAACGGTGTAATAACACATTGCAAATTAATTTAAGAGAGAGAGTTAAAACTAACGGAGTTATTTACATGCTTTATAAATATTTTTCAAATCTGAACAGTCACTGGGCAGATCAAAGTGCTCTTCTAAATTAGGTTCACATTTTAAAGCTTTTAACGTTACACCGATGTGTTTCTGGCAATCAATCTTTTTTTTCTATTTTTATATGCTATATACGATTTCATAGTGCAGCGGAAACTAGTCTAACTTTTTCTATTTTTTTATATTCGCACAATATGTATCTCTATATAAAATAAAAAAAAACGTTCATAGAGCAATCTATCGATTGCCAAAAATAAAGTTTGATCTTTAAAATTGAATTTGCGCCAAACTAATGCTCGCCAGAGCAAGTTTATTTCTATAATCTCGCGAAGCGCTCTATAATTTTAAAATTATTTTAAATAGTCCGCACAAGAACAGTACAATAACATTAATCCTTTGAAGGAGGGAAAGAAAGTTTACTTTAAAAATCTTTCACAGTTTTTCTTCACTAAGATTATAATTTATTATATTCCTTGTCTTAAAATATAACACTGTTTCAACAATATCGAAGTTTTCCTATAAAGATTATATATAATTGAAGGACTCCCTGAAAGAATATTGCAGTTCCAATATTTTTTTATCGCTAGATTTTATTATTTAATTCTTTCCGAAAATTTTCATTCGTGAGAAGAACAAGAATTTGGCGAAATTTTTATTCTTATTTTTCAAGAATTTTAATTCCGCGTGAATTTTTATTCTCGAGAAGTAAGAATAAAAATTCACGAAAATAAGGCCACGTAAGAACATAATAATACAGATAAATATAAATTGTAAATCTATTATTTTGAAACAAATACAATAGTTTAAAAATACTGGCGAATAATCTAATTCAGGAATATATATACAAATTCGATTTTCGACATTCGTCGATGTAATGTGCACAGAAGGAATACACATTACATATTAAACACGAAACTCATAAAATGTGCTTGATGTAGTATCATGGTTGTGAGACACTCTGTGTAATTGTGCACAAATAGAGAAAAGCTAATTATTTGCTATCGCGACCAATCACGTTCATTGCGAAACAACAATCTCACTTACCGGAATGTTGCTCGACGAATCTGAGTGGGTGCTGCCCTCGTATACGCAAACTTCCTCTTCGGGTTAACTCGTTGTAATCTGTTCGAAATTTCCAACTCCTAATACTTACTTAGTTTCCACCAACGTACAACGGTTTAACACGTACGTGATGCTGCTTGCGGACGCACGAGTAATATGAAATATTCCACTGTTATGCTTCTTGAAGTCATATTTGCGTCCTCTAACACCTAGTTTGATTTACAATCTGTTTTGTAAGCGCCAATTTCGAAAGTAAACATAAAATCTTACACCTCCCTCCTTTAAAATAAGATTTGAATGAGTTTTATTTTAATGGCATTTTAATTCTTACTGAGTTTGTTAGAAAGATATTTATTTTTAAAAAATTTATCACTTCTTCACAATTAAAATATTATGAAAAAATAGCGTGTGAAAAAAATAACGTATAATATTTGATATTTTTATTTAAATGATTAAAAAAACCATTATTGAAGTTAAACTTAATATTTCGTTCGATATTGAATTATCGGCGTAACTTAAAAAGATTATAAACAAACGGGTAATATACCTACGTCGTTTTATCATTGAAACGCGATTTTAAGCAACATGTGATAACGTGACTTACCGTAGTCACCTACAAGCACATTATCGCAACATCGCGCATCGATAAGGTATGACCTCGCGTTAGTTGCCGCGACATTGAAATTATGGTGAGCGGAAAACAACGTTTATCCAAATTTATGGTAGATTTGCGAGATTACCTGATGTACATTTTGCTAATATTCCAACAACGCGCGCTCTCGCATAATATTCTCCCGTTTCAAAACCGAGGGAAACGTGGAAAAATTAAAAGTTAAAACGCTCTTCTACTACATCGCTCAATTTAACCAGAATTTTCTGTTTTTTACATTAATTAATTTCACCAGTAAAATGTAATATCGCGACGGATGGTGTGAAGATTTATATGCAGAATAAAGAGAATAAAGAATTTGTAAAAATTATATTACAGATTACGGTATTTATCGTAATCTTCGATGTTTCATTCTAACAAAAAAAAAATACTAGAATTTTTATTTAAATAGGTTACAAACATGAAAGATTAGGTTAAATTAGATTAGATTAGATTAGATGAGATTAGATTTTCCACGATACACATCACAATACAATGTTATTTGTGCATACGAGGCATGTGTAGTTACGTCCATAATTATGATTGCCATACATTTTTACAAACCCTCATTTCGCGACGAAACGTAGCGTTGAGCCGCGTAACGTGATATTACGTTTTTACTTTGATCTCATATTCTCGACACTGACTCATTAGCAGCTTCATACTATCCGCGGTAAATGCTTCCTAAATAAAGACTTTTGCCAACGAGGATGACATCATTTTCCTCTTTGTGTGTTCCAGTAAATAATATAACACATTATAACAAAATAAAATTACACATCTGTATGTGAGCGTACGTTCGACTAACACGCAAGAAAGGAAAATATCACGGATATTAGATTCATTATACATTCCTTCAGTCGGCGTGAGATAAATGCTTAATCGTATTTTATAACGAAGCGCAGGAACGTCGTCGGCTGCACCTGAAATTCGCGCTTGAGGGAATATCGTACTTCGATACTGAATTGCTAATTACGAGTTAACGCACGCTCAGCAGCTACAGACTAAATATTGTTCTTTTATTACCCGTCGATTTTGCAGTCTAGTATATCTATCTCAATATATAAATAGTAATATTTTAAAACAGTTTGATATACAATAATAATAAGAAATGTATTAAAGAGATGCAGAGAAAGAAACGCGGAGAGAAAAAGAGAAAAAGAATCTGTGAAATAAATCGAAAAGTATCTTTAAGTCTTATTTTAAATGATATTTTACTTCACTTATATTGTTTGATAAAAATTTAATCTAATCTCTAGTGAAATTTAAAAAATACGAGTGTTCAAAAATAGATATATTTCAAGGGCACATTCAACAATGCAGTTTCATTCGAATGTTACGTAAACGATTATCGAGAAAGAATCGTTTTGCAGCCAACGCGAGCCCCAGATTCGCCAGATTCCGGGCTTATCGGAGCAAAGAACGCGAAGTATTGAGGAATATCCATTTCTGGTTAGTATTATGAGCGGCCGATCTTTACGCGCGATTTGGCATTTAAAAAAATCATTGCGTTCTTTCTCTCTCTCTCTCTCTCTCTCTCTCTCTCTCCCTTTTTCTTTGTTGCCGTGCACTTTCATTTCACCGATCTCGTGGAACGGTGTTTTGACCACGAAGTCAAGGCATTTTTGCGTAAGTAGTAATGTCATCACGACTAACATACAGCAAATAATAACATCGGCGCCATACGCATTCGGCCGGTTTAATCAATTTTAATCTCGCCGCTCGATAAAAGTAATTTAGATTCCGCGATCGCCCCACATTCGCGCGCATTTCGTATCCTTTCCAGAAATGTGCACGAGGGAGAGACTCAAGCGAGAACGAAATATTATAGCGAAAATAGTATCGTATATTACGTTCGTAGAGCGCGAGCTCTACAGTAAAAATGTCAATGTCTCGTAATATGTCTATGACGAAAAGGAAATCGACTCGGCACCTCGGATAAAACTCGATAGAGATACTGCCAGACCCATCCACCCCATCGAGCGCTGCTGGCCGTCACGTCGGATGAAAATGTTTTAATTTCGCGTTTCCTCGACATTTCGGTCGGCGCGACGAACCGGCGCGCGGCGCGCCGGCGAACGACCGTTTCGATGATCCCATAAAGCTGCGGACTACATCCAATAACTTTCCAGACAGTCGTCCACGGCCACCTGACCATTTCGTCCCCTTCAGCCGTCACGTAGGCTTGAAGAAATAGTATCGCACGAAACGCGCATTTGTGTGTGCATGCGCGCGTATGTGTAGAACCTGGAAACATAATATTTACGATCGCAAATAAAGCGCCAAGAATGATACTGACAATACGACAAACGTATGTATCTCTCGATTGTGGATCGAAGTATCCTCTTACTATGCAGTTAAATATAAGTCCGTTAAACAAAATCTTTCGAAAAGGGAGACGTTTAATAATAAATGCGTTTAATAATAAATTTTTCTCACTCAAGCTCCGCATTATTGTTACGAACATTGGAAATTGCAGTTTCGAGTTAATGGAAAAACTTTATTACGCGCATAGTTGCGAATTCGCGGCCATCCGACGTCATTCGCAATGTAAAGAATCATTGGGAATGCGGTAAACGCGGCGGAATCGAATAGGGCGACCATTTTAAAGCCGCAAGCACGTATTTGAACTATCATAAAGTTGCGCTGTTTTATTTTCCGACGCGAAGAGAACGCCACCGAGCGCGGAACCGGGAGAGGAGATCGTACCTCGAGTAATCGTGTAAGCAGCATAAATATTTCTCCGCCGGTGAAACAACAGCACCTGCGGCGATACGCGTTTACGTTTCGTGCGACAGTTTCCTATCGAAGCATTATCATCGAATCGTCGTGATACGATAGGTAGGTATCCTCCGTGTAATCATCGGACGGACGGTATATATCATCAATCCGATATCACCTAGTTCGCTAGCTCCGCAAATTCGCGCGAATGTCCGTCCCATTTTGTTTTCACTCCGTTGCACTTTGACTTGGATTTTCTTAACGTACCCTTTCGGATTTTGATCTCCATTTGTTGGAAGAAAAGTCTCTTTGACAATTTATTTCGACAC